TTGTACAATTTTGCCCAAGTATGTTCTAAGACATGTCTAGAACGCTGAATGGAATGCGGTTTATTGCTAGGTAAAAAGTCTCCCCATCGGCTCATAAGACGACAGGAGCTCGACTCATTGTCATAGTTCGGGCTTGTTTGCTGGCAGGTACTTTTGGTAATATATTTGAAACAGAAAGTTGGCAACAAATGCTAATAACTAGGCTGTCTGGCGCGATGCAAATGCTGCTATTAAATGCATTTCGTGCTTTTAGAATTCGGCATAGCGGAAATCCAGGCATTCTTGTCCAATTGTCCGATTGACGCCAGCCCCGATAACATGTCGGGCGACATGGCTTTGCACGAGTTGATCGCCTTGAGAAAAAGCTTACCCTACACTAAAGCCGGATAGCTGGATGTGAAAAGAAGTTGAGGCGAGATAACACTGGGCGGCTTGCTAGTTTTATTGTGGATGCCCTGACGCCGTTTCTCGTCAAGTCTGTCGCGCCCCGAAACAGAGCAACATGCGCGCTTATTAGGAACATAACAATGGATTGCATGTTATCTTCGTGTCCCTGAGACGAAAGAAAAAAAAAATCGTAGTATATGATAGCAATGCCGTGGCCTAGAAAAAATACAACGTTGAAGCGTGCAAAAGAAAACATCAAAAGCAAAAATAATGCGGCCAGTGTGACTCGAACACACGACCTTCACATAGGCATCCGTAGGATTGAAGTTAACTTCAGTCTGACGATCTCCCAGCTAATCTATGGCCGCAAGGTTGACAATTGTGCGATTATTCTTGTTTAATAGGGCTTCAACCAAGAACAGCGACGAAAAAATGGCACATCTGGTCCGATGTCCATCAACCCAGCCATGTTCAGCAACTTATAATCCATGTGCCACATTGAAGCATACGAAGCGAGCAATAGTATTATTTTTCCGTATATGCTAATTCGCATACAGCCTCTCAGTTTCTTCAAAACTCCGTAGGAACCGGTTAATAAAGTCCCGAGGAATGAAAACGGCGCGCGAGACCCTACGGCGACACATATTTACTCTCTCTGATCATATCCACGAGCCTCTCAGCCAGTAACTGTGCATCTCCAGGGTGCCGGCCACTAGCGTAGTTGAAATCTGGATCCTCCACCACGAATCTACAGACGGTCAACGATGTGTTTTCTTAAGAAGAACACCTACTTACGGAGCAAGGGCCCAGCTGCTCTTCAAGCAAGCAGGGTCCGAAAGCACTTTCACAACCTACGAGACATTAGCACTTCGATAGTTTGACGATGAGTGAGCTGACATACAGAAGCCTCGACATCCTCGCCCGAAGCACCGTACACTTTGAAGTAGTCGCCCATAAATGGCCACGTTACCCAAAAAGCAGCCTTTTCAAACAACGCGGGCAAGGTGGTTGTTGTCCGGCCATACAGAATGCTTCTTCCATCAGGCCCCTTTGCCTGGGCCAGCACCTTGACCCCGTAGCATATAGCACCCACCGCTTTCCCGGCGGGTTTTCTAGTCTGTGGGAAGTAATCCGCTAGTAGCTTATGAACTACTGGCGAGTCGATAAGTTGCCGTATTGTCTTTTCCTGCCCACCCGGTAAGAAGACGGCGTCAAAGGCATCGAGATCAAATCCCGCCGTAGACCAGCGCAAGGCGTGTTTCCATTCTTCAGATGCGACCATGGCGGAATATTGCCGGAGAACAGACTGTGTAGCGCCCTGCAAGGAGATTAGTAATGAGTTTATGCGCAATGAACCGGTTTCTATACAAAAATGGTTTGTGTGACACCTTGTAACATCTTGGCATCGCACTTGGGTGAAGTGCCTGTCTCAGTCGCAAAGTTTACTTCAAAACCCGCTTCTCGAAAGACAGTGTACGGGACTGCAGTCTCTATAGAATAGTTAGTTTAAAGTTTAAAGATTGGCAATTTACAAGAATGCTCCAAAGTTGCGCCGCAGAATGGGAGCACGCGCCTGTGGGATCATGACCGTAGTCGGCCATCATTATAAGAACCTTGACCATGGAGATTGGCAGACTTTAATTTACACGTAGTAATAAGACAATGAATGGGAGAAGTAGACTGGGTGTAGTGAATGATGCCGTAATATGATGGTCCGAGTCGACGGAGATGCAGCTCGCTGTAAATGGAGTTTGTGGCAACATAGCACTTCCGGCAACGCCGTATATACTGACTTAATAGGTCAACGAAAAATTCCGTGTCTGTCTATAACCGTGTCCGGTCGGGTTTAAAGTAGAGCCGGAGCGCGGGGTATATGGGATGGTAGGTTCATCCTTCTACAATTAGCTCCTGCTACGATTAGCGAAGGATATTCGGTGAAACTCGGAAATATTTTACTGAGCCAAATACACTGCCAACTAGCTCCGGATGGCTCGAACCTTCCATTGCCAAGATGTTGTTGCATCCAGACCCACTTGAACAAAATCCCAACGCACCGGCGTGGTATTATATCCGCTGGGTCCCGGATGTCATCACCAATTCCTCACATGTACGATCGACAAAGAGTGTCGCAGAAGGTGAATTCGCCGTACAGAGGGAATAGTCCAGCTTACGCTTCTCCCGTTCTCTAGTTGTACACGGACAATTTCAAGCACCTGCTAGATGAACAAAACATCAGTCTGGCGTCTTACAGTCAACTAGTAAGGGGCTCTCTGTGGAGTAGCTTTGGTAATCGGGAGAATTGGCCATATTCTGTCGTTTAAAAAAATCGTAGTTCAATTCGCACTACAATCTCAATCACTGTCTTAGTTTAGGCATACAGAGCCTCGATATGC